TCACACGTTCAATCTGGACGTGGGCGTGAGCGCGTCCTCATCTTGCTGATCAAAAACCTTCTTGAGATCATCAACCTAAAGTGCAGCACAGGGCATTTCGAATCCCCCGAGAAAATGTTCACAGAAACAGTCTCTTCGCTGTGCTGGTTATGGAAACAGTCATGTCCGTCCACAAAAGCCGTTGGATTTCAATGTACCCTCTGGTAGAAACCTCCATTTATGAGGGATTTTCCAGCCGGCTATGTTAGTCATAACTGGTATGAATCATAGCTTTTGAAGCATACCCAAGGACCAAAAAAAAACTGCGGTTATGTGAAACACCAAACGCCGGGTGATATCGGTGATGGAAGCGCAAGATCCACATGGTGGAGCAAACATGTAGCGTTGTGTCAAACACTGCAACAGGGCCCAGAAAGCATCGACCATCATGGGAAATGAAAAAGGCATGGACCAGACTGGAGGCCCCTGGGTATCACTGAGTGACTTGAACTGCTGGATTTTGCGAATTTTCATCCCAAATAATGGTCTCATGATTCTTGACCCTCAGGACAACGCACCATTTGGATGAACGTTCCACGCGGGGGAACGCAAAGTGTCAAGCTTGGTTCACTTGCTGACATCACCACTTTGAACCCTCGTTGGTTACAGAAAAAGTCACGAGGTTTTGTCATGGTCATTGGTTGAAATGAAAACCCTCATTCTTCTGTCTAGTCGACAAAGTTGTACCGCAGTACTGAATATACCTGAACCTATTGCAATGCCTGACATTGTGTGGTAAACCCAGTAAAGCAGTAAATCCCATCTTTTCAAAGTTTGTACGACCCCCCCTATACATTCTCGAAAGTTAGGTCTATTGGGTCCACATTTTGAAAGGGCAACCAGCTTCAACGACCTTCTGAAAGCGGCTTACATTTCACCAATCCACCCAGAAGAAGTATTCCTTTTGCATCCATGGATCATGGCTCATGTGAAAAAACACAAAAATGTTTGCTGCTTGTATCGTTCTATAGTGAAATAGGTGTCATGTAGTCATAAACTCATAGAGTCATCTATAATGTATATAGAGAGAGAGAAAGTGATATAGTATAATATACTAAATCATAGTTAAACTTCAACGACACGATACATTTATATGGTCAGGCCTCAGAACTCTGGCTGGTTGATAACTGTTTGAGACTATAGGAACATAGGTAGATTCTCCGAACAGATCAGAGGAATCCATATCAACTGACCATCATATTCAGTTGGTTATATATCCCAAATATATTCCTATATTGTTATATATTGTGTAGTTAAATCCCATAAAATCCCCATTAAATCACCATGAAATATCAATACGAGGGGAATCCCAACTAGTCCGTGGCCTGATCGTAGTCCACGCCGATAACGATCTCGCCCTGGACCCGCAAGTATGAACTCATGGGAATTCATAGGAACTAAAAAAAACGGGATTTCCATTGTTGGGAAAAACATCCAAAAAACGGGGTAGAAACGACCGTTTACCCTTGGTGGGTTGGAACAATACCAGGTGGAGGTTTCCCAAGTCATCGGGATACCTCCAGGTTTCATCCATTTTTGTTTTGGATTTTCCCATCAAAAAAACCATCCATTTGGGGGTGACCCCCATTTTAGGAAACCTCCATGTGGGTGGGACAACCCAGATTTTCAGATTGGGATCCTACCATACCAAGCATTACTAACCTCAGACAGCACCCATGGTCACCCGAGTCTTTTTTCCGAGATCGGGGGATTGCAGCCAGCTGAAGCCTGAGAAAACTAGATATTATACCCTCTGGTAAACTAACATAGCTATTGAAAATGGTCATTTATAGTTGAGTCACCTATTAAAAGTAATTATTGTCCATAGTTATGTCCCAGATGATTCAGATGATGTGTTGATGGTAACATCTCACTTGTATCATTGCTGCCTTGTCCCCTTTTTTGAGATCCCAAACTTGAAGTCATTCTCCGCAAACCATAAGGGCTCGATGGTTTACTCAGGAAAAACAAAATGTGGGTACTCTCACTGGACTTCTTTAGATAGCGAAATTTTGTTGGTAATTCGGAATAGCATATTTTTCCAGTGAGGGTCTCCACAAATTAAAACCATAAGGCGAAGTCCCAGGTCTTACGGCGTAGTTCATTCGTCATTTTCCCTATTAAGGTTGCCAACAAGATTGGGGTATACCATACTATACCATATTTCCAACAAGCCCAAAAACCATGTTGATGGTGATGTATCCCATTATATAAATTATATTCAATTATATCCTCATGATATCCCCACTTTCTCTGGTTGGTAAAACAGCCCGGTAATACCTCAATGATAAATCGAAATTAGATCTCAACTCTAATCCCCATGTATAGACCAATGTAGCTTTGCAATCCAACAGCAACTGTTGCAGGATTCCCAGGTTCCAGGGTTCCGTTCTGGTTTTGAGGAGCATCTATGACGTAACAGTGCGAGACACAGACCAACAGTTGCATTGCTGTTAGGAACACACCTTTATTAAACAGGCATAAGGTGGTGCCCCCTAGTTATAGTTGATTATAAGCCCATGAAACTATGGATTATTAATGATTATTATGGATCTACAATAATTCCAACTAGTCAACCTACCAAAAATTCCACCAACTTAGCGATTAGTCGCCGCCTCATCAGCTGTGGCCGATGTCACATCCTCCTGACAACCAGTTTCCGGTGCCGCAAAGCCACAACAAAAGGTGCAAAAGTGGGGTTACCCTCTGGTAATTTAACAGTTTGCTATTGAAAATGGCCATTTATAGTCAGTTTTCCCAGTAAAAATGGTGATTTTCAATAGTTTTTTGTATGTTTACCAGAGGGTAGACCTCCAAAATTGAGAATTTGACTTACCCAATGGCTATTTGACCTACAAAATTAGAGATTTCACTGCCAAGAAATGGAAATGTGACCCCGAATTCATGGGGTTTGACAGTTTGACAAATTGATCCACCAATAGAGGAAGGTTCGACCACAACAACGGTGTGTTTTTGCGTTAGGATTGAACAAAATCTCACACAAAACCTGTGTTAGCCAGAGACTTTTTTTTCTGTTTTCTTCTTGCAGATTCTTGCCCCAGCTTTGGGGTTTTCATTGGCTGCCTTTTTTTGGTCAGCAAATAGCAACTGCGAAAACACGCTTCGGTGGTCAGTTCACCCTGGCCAAACGGTATCAGTGAACCAATCATCACAAGCGGATGTCGGTCTATTTTTTTACCCCAAAAGCCATGGATTATAATCATGTTCCCTATTAAAGTTGTTTTTTACATATATATATATTATATATAGGCATTCCCCATTTTCAGACACATCCAAGTCACAAAGGTGAAAGGAACGAGATGAAAAAGCTACCGTGAAACATGGTGAAATCTATGATGTCAAAGGGCCTCTCCCGGTAGTTTCGCATAGCAAACTGGAAGCCACGGGCCATGTGTTCATGATTTGTGAAAAATAGTGATTTTCCGTAGCAAACTCTTGACCAGAAGGTAGATTTTTTCCCACCACTTCCCATGAACTAGCTATATGTACGCTATATCCCAGTGTTTCACATTAGCCATATCCCAATATTGTTGCATAATGTTTGTAATTCCCCGATTGGTGTGAGAGGTTTCCAAAATATAGAAAGGAGACACACAAAATTATTCGCAGGGTGCTTCAATTCTCCCTTGGATTCTCTCACCTTTTGCTAGTGATACCCTCATCCCCCAGCTATTTGACAAACCTACATGGTGGGGCCGCCAAAAAAGGCTAAGTTGGTGAATATAGCTCCAATCATTTGCTTGTTTTTTGGCTATAACTACAGTAACTATAGTGGGTTTAATCAATTCATAACTTGGGGCCCCCCACCTTGTAGCAATCAACCAATGAAAAAGTTCGGACTTGCACTGGGTCTGGTCTACCAGGATTGGTGCACTGTTATATCCCACTTGTTGCTGCTTACATTTGGTCTTGATGAATCCTCCATTTCGGCTATTCTTATATTCCATTTACATCCATGTACCAATGTTTGGATGCACCCTTATCATAGTGAATATCCACCTATATATATATACATATATGTGTATATTAGATACCCCTACAGTGCACGTCCCATACATTAGCCCATGTATTCAAAAAATTGGTTGATACATTTGACCCATACCCACATTCATCAGATGATCTTTGATCACTAACATTTTTGATGATTAGTCATAACAGTCCTACCTACCACTTTAAGTTTGGTGTTACACTCCATCAATCCCCATTTCATTTTGTGTGGTTGGCTGTTAAACTCCATTTAGTTGGTAATGTCATTGATATTCATTGATGATTTTCCCGTTGAAAGTTGATGTTGCGTATCTAAAATGGGGGAAGCAACAATGGTCCCCCTCAAAAGCAGAACTAGGTTTGTACCCAACCCGAGTTGTGGTAATCGTTGTCTTTGCTGTTTTGAGATATTTTGATGGATATACCCTCTGGTAAACAAACATAGCTATGGAAGCCATGGCCATGGCCCATAGAAATAGTTGATTTACCTATTAATAGCATGCCGGACCTTTCGTTAAAAATTTACCAGGGAATCATCGAAGCACAGATTCAGATGATGTGTTAACATTCAGTGTTAATTTGCCAGAGGGTACCCTCTGGTAATGTCAAAATAGCTATTGAAAATGGCCATTTGTAGTGAGTTTTCCCATTAAAAATGGTGATTTTCCATAGTTATGTTAAATTACCAGAGGGTAAATAGTTTACCAAATGAGCCCATCATTGCATGCTTCGAGTGCCCATCGACAGTGTCAACCGTCCCCGTACGGCCATGAGAACATCGGCGATTCTCAGGGTCTAAACATCCACTATTCACATGTGCCATGGTCAAAACATGGTATGTGGTTTATGGTAAACTTACCATGATTGGGAATTTCTCGTTCTAGATCATTAGAAATCCAGATGCCCATATATTTGATTGTTGAGTATCTACGTGTATGATAATTATATCCCATTAATCCCATTGAAACCCTGAAAAATCCCATGAAACTGGTCAATCTCATACTATTGTTTGCATATCCAAGTATATACCTTCATGAAATATCACAAAAAAATACTTAATCCCATCAAAATCAGGTCAAGTTGTCAGACAATTCTCCGAAACATATCCAAATTTCTCCTCAAATTCTCTCGTCGCAAAATCCCCCATGAAAAATGTTGAACATTTTAATACCCTTGTATAATCATATGTCAAGAAAAACTTGGCTAAATGTAAAAACCCCATTTCATGATATGATGTATGGATGTACGGATGTATGGATGTATGGATGTATGGATGTACAATGTACGGATGTATGGATGTATGGATGTATGTATGCATGCATGTATGTATGTATAAACTGTATGACTGTATGACTGTATGACTGTATGTATGTATGTATGTATGTATGTATGTACATGCATGCATGCATGCATGCATGTACGGATGTATACTGTATGTATGTATATGTATGTATATGTATGTATATTTATGTCTCTGTATGTCTCTGTATGTATATGTATGTCTCTGTATGTCTCTGTATGTCTCTGTATGTCTCTGTATGTATCTGTATGTATCTGTATGTATCTGTATGTATCTGTATGTATATGCATGTAGTTGTATGTTTATGTATGTATAGATATGCATATGTATGTATAGATATGTATATGTATGTTTATGTATGTATATGTATGTATATGTATGTATGTATGTATATGTATGTATATGTACGTATATGTACGTATATGTATGTCTCTGTATGTATATGTATGTATGTATGTATGTATGTATGTATGTATGTATGTATGTATGTATGTATGTATGTATGTATGTATGTATGTATGTATGTATGTATGTATGTATGTATGTATGTATATGTATGCATATGTATGCATATGTATTTATATGTATGTATATGTATGTATATGTATGTATCGATGTATGTATCGATGTATGTATCGATGTATGTATCGATGTATGTATCGATGTATGTATCGATGTATGTATGTATGTATGTATGCATGCATGTATGTACGTATGTATGTATGTATATGTGTGTGTATATGTGTGTGTATGTGTGTGTGTATGTGTGTGTGTATGTGTGTGTGTATGTGTGTATGTATGTATGTATGTATGTATGTATGTATGTATGTATGTATGTATGTATGTATGTATGTATGTATGTATGTATGTATGTTGTATGTATGTATGTATGTATGTATGTATGTATGTATGTATGTATGTATGTATGTATGTATGTATGTATGTATGTATGTACGTATATGTATGTATATGTATGTATATGTATGTATATGTATGTATATGTATGTATATGTATGTATATGTATGTCTCTGTATGTCTCTGTATGTATATGTATGTCTCTGTATGTCTCTGTAGGTCTCTGTATGTCTCTGTATGTCTCTGTATGTATATGTATGTCTCTGTAGGTCTCTGCAGGTCTCTGTATATGTATGTATATGTATGTATGTGTACGTATATGTATGTATGTGTATGTATGTGTATGTATGTGTATGCATGGGTATGTATGGGTATGTATGGGTATGGGTATGTATGCGGATGTATGCGTATGTATGTGTATGTGTATGTATGTGTATGTATGTGTATGTATGTGTATGTATGTATATGTATGTGTATGTATGTGTGCGTATGTATTTGTATGTATGTGTATGGATGTGTTTGTATGTGTATGTATGTGTGTGTTTGTGTGTGTATGGATGTATGGATATATGGATGTATGTATGTATCTGTATGTATCTGTATGTATCTGTATGTATCTGTATGTATCTGTATGTATCTGTATGTATCTGTATGTATTTGTATGTATCTGCATGTATCTGCATGTATCTGTATGTATCTGGATGTATGGATATATGGATGTATGTATGTATCTGTATGTATCTGTATGTATCTGTATGTATCTGTATGTATCTGTATGTATCTGTATGTATCTGCATGTATCTGTATGTATCTGTATGTATCTGTATGTATCTGTATGTATCTGTATGTATCTGTATGTATGTATGTATGTATGTTTGTATGTATCTGTATGTATGTATCTGTATGTATGTATCTGTGTGTATGTATCTGTATGTATGTATCTGTATGTATGTATCTGTATGTATGTATCTGTATGTATGTATCTGTATCTATGTATTTGTATGCATGTATCTGTATGTATGTATCTGTATGTATGTATCTATATGTATGTATCTGTATGTATGTATCTGTATGTATGTATGTATGTATGTATGTATGTATGTATGTATGTATGTATGTATGTATGTATGTATGTATGTATATGTGTGTGTATATGTGTGTGTATGTGTGTATGTATGTATGTATGTATGTATGTATGTATGTATGTATGTATGTATGTATGCATGCATGCATGTATGTATGTATGTATGTATGTTCCTTCTTCTTCAGAAGTTTTTGGAGGTTGATTAGTAAGGAGTCACTAATTCTCAGTCTGATCAATAACTATAATATCAACTATTCTTTGGTAGCCTAGGAGGGGAAAATAAACATAGCCTCAATCAAAGATGGCGTGCTGGAAAATCCACCATTTATTCGCGTATTTTCCCATTAAAGACCTCCATTTTGTATGGGGATGTTCAATTGCCATGTTTTACTGGAGGGTAATGAGCTGATGAATAAACCCCATATTCTTGACGATATCCCCATACTATCCCCATGAAAATCATTCCCAGTACATCTCTGAAAAATGTGGGTCAAATCCCCTGAAATCCCGATGAATCCTCATTAATGATGGTATATCCCATCCCCATTGCTTGGTCAATTCCCATCAAATCTATCACATGCCCTTTACCACCATGATTGTTGGTTAAGTACCATTGCAATCCCGTTTCTATCTCCACACTATCATTTTGAATGGCCAGCTACTCACTTACTTCTTGATCAACCAGAATCGTTACTAACCATTGAAAGGAATTTATTGAACCATCATCAACACCCCACAAAATCTTCATTAATTCCCATTAAATCCCAGCACACATGGAGGTGCAACCAAATACAAGTAACACTCAACAAATTTCCATCTTTCCTCATCAATGATGGTTTGCAAAACATTTTCTCTAGCTATACCTACCATGAACCATACTTGGGGTGCAGTGGAGGTTACCATACTATGGCTGTAACCAATGCATTTTAATCCCCAGAAGTTGGGATATCACCTGTATTTCCAACCCAAGTAACCCCTATGGACTGCACTTCCTCATCAATGTTGGTCTGCATAACCCCCGTCTCACTATAGTCATCCTGGAGTAGATACGGAAAATTCTAAATATCCTCCCAAAAATGCGAATATCTTTGAAAATTCTAGATACTTCAGGATGATTATATGGGGGGTGTTCCTAAAAGGGTGCATCCCGAAAACCATGGTTTCATACTTCAGGATGATTATATGGGGGGTGTTCCTAAAAGGGTGCATCCAGAAAACCATGGTTTCACTACGAAATGTGGTCAAACTTGGAAAAAAAATTGGGGTATCCTCCATTTTAAGCTACACATGTCCATCTATATCTAACGATAGTTATACCTACCATAACCCATTAATAAACCCATTAAACCCGCCTCTGCGGCTGGAATGTCGGGTGCCTTCACCATGACGACCGCTAAATCCTTAGGTGCGATGCCACAAAGCGGCGGTTTTTTGGGTGGGTTCTAGCTGGGAAAAGCTGGGGAAAATGTTGGGTTTCTAGGAAATCCAATAAGATTTGCCAAACTGAAGAAAATCGCATCTTTTAATCCCACATTTCCACCCAAATACGCTGTGAATCAATGAACAGTAGGGTTTGAACCAGCCACAATGGATACTCCTTGGGGCAATCGGGATACTCCTTGGACGTTCCAAGAATCGTATACTTCATAACCCATGTATACCTTTATATATGTATATTGTGGTTGACAAGAAATGTCCAACCCCACTGGCAGCTCTTTCCCAACACAGCGACCTTTTCCACGATCGCAAGGCTCCAAGGTTTCACAACGCCCAAAACAGGCAATGGTAAAAGATTCCAGCTTCTATGCCACCTGCAATGCGGCTGATCCCTGTCAGTCTTTCCAAAGGGCTGCCTCGCCCTACCGAAGCAAAAATGGCCAAGCACTGAATCCCTTCCCTACCCACTGACCTGAAAGTTGGGGCTCCCTGAGCCGGTAAAGGTGCTATTGGATCAGAGGCATTCTGATGGAAAACTGTGTTGAATGTCCTGGGCTTCCGCAATGCAACAGGGGCTAAACGTGCAGCAAATGGTATGATTCACACTCCCAAAATTCCAAAATTTTGAGACAACAAAAATTTCATCCAGTTTGCTGCACATGGCCAGCGTCGCATCCTGAGATTTCCTTCTTTGAATTGCCGTCAGTGATTTCTTCGTTTCCTGAGCGCAGCCACTTCAATCTGTTGCGAGTCGTTGCACGGTCTCGCAAAACCTCCAGTTCATCATGTAATTTGTAATATCCATATTGAAGTGTTTCTCTGAGGAATGCATTCTCCATGATCTTCGTGAGGCCATCGGCTAGTTGTGCTCCACTGTGAACCCACCTAAGGGAAACACCCTCTGACAGATAGTCTTTGATTGATCTGGCATTCAATTGAGTACGGTACTCTGAGCAGTTTGGCATCGCAGTTCTGGTAACTAAATCATATAGGGACTTGCAATCTGTGGCAGTGATGCTGTCGGTCATGGTCTGTGCTTTATAAGTTGAAGTGGAAATTGTATTTGGTAATGACTTGAGAGTTTGTGCAGGTTGTTTCCAGTTTGTCGTGTGATCATTTATCCACGCCCAGAAAAGTCTCATCCATGACAGTTGGTCCAGGACTGAATTCAGCGACACGGTCTCGGCAGCCAGCGTACTTGTTACCACTCGTTGAATCTTCTTACATCCCCAAGCAAGAGGGCTCACTGGACAAGAGACATTGTTCTCGATGTCTTTATGAGTCCCCATGATCAACATGCCAGTATGGGAGTTTGGATTTGTTTTCGAAGCGAATGAGGCATCTGAAAAGGCAAGGAACCTGAAATCTGCAATAGGTATTGATTGGACTTTGATGGTGGTATCATGATATTTCTTGGCTTCGTGAAGGGTCTGATTAGCTTGAATTAAGGTTTCCACTGTGGATTTGTTGATTTGAGACTGAAGGTTACTTAACCTACTGGAGAGGTCGGGTCTAGTATGTACTGAGGCATACTGTAGGCTTCCGATCAGGGCACGCAAATCTTGTCTCTCGTTCTCGGTCACCTCTGCATTGGGGCTTCTTTTGCGTTCGGCTGGGATTTGAATAGGATTGATGGCTCTGATGTATTTGGATTGACTCATGTGAATGCTGTGGTCTGGTAATTGTTGCATCTCAATCCCGGTGAAAGTAAATTGTTTCATTTTCTTGGTGCCAAACGGGTACTTTTGTTCCAGCTTGTCCAATACTGAAGTGAAATAAGGGGTGCCCCCACAAATTCCATCATCAACATGTAATCCTAAAACTCCTTCTACGGTACCGCTTTGAGGATGCTTTAGCACAAACATGCATGGATCAAAAGGACTTGAAATGAATCCCAATCTCTGCAGTTCTTCGGTGATCGCAACGTACCAAAGATATGGTGCGTCCACCAGGCCATATGCTCCCTTTTCCAGTTTGCATATTTCACCCTGTTTCAGGTTCATGGCTTGAATGATTTCTGGTACTGGCTCAATTGCAAGGATTCGGTCACCTTGGGTCTTTCCTTGGAGAAACGCTGCCTTGATGTCAAACGATTTGAGGTCCCATCCTCTTGAGGCAATGTACTGTAACAAGATCATTTTGGAGATTCTGCCCAACGTTGGTGAGTCACGAGGTAACTCTTCTAATTTGGGGTCGAGATATCCTAAGATCACCAGTCTTGCCTTGGCCTTTTGGGTGGTTACTCTTTTGGGATCATCAGAGTCTACATTTTTCCAAGTTAAAATCCATCGGCAACGAAGTACTTGGTCATAGGGGATCTTTTCCCGCAAGACTTTGGAAATTGTACCAGTTTTGATCCAGTTTTCAATTTCGGTTTCTTTTGCCCTTTGGAAAGCTTCTTTTTCTTTTGGACTGAGTGAGGACAGTTTTACCTCTGATCGTTGTTTCTTGGCTGCCGAAACAACGAATGCCATGTCCTGTGGGACCTCTTCTTGTCGCCATGCATCGATGTCCTTTTGGTTAACATCAATTTCCAGGCGCCATGCAAGGTCATGTTGGTCGGAGAACAGGCATGGGTCCAGGTCATGACACAGCAGGCTGTCACATATCAGGTCATCATCATTGTCTTCATCAGGAATTGGTGTTGTGATGGCGGGATCAGTGACTTCATCGGGGTTATTTGGAATGGCTTCAGGGTTTTGTGGTGTCTCTTGGGAATCACGTTCACTGGCGTTAGAATCAGGATTCTGTGTGGATGGAACTTCCGGTTCCAGGTCTGGTTGTACTTCAGATGTATTGTCATTTTCCAGGTTATGGTTATTTTGGATTGGATTAGGTGAGTCGTTATTCTGGGATGGCATGTTAATGGAAAGTTCTTGATGGTCATCAATGGCTCGGGAAATTCCTTGTCGTGCTCCCTGAGGAATTTGTTGTGCAATGATGGAAACTGATGGTTCATTCTGAGTCATCGGAATTTCTTTGGCCTCTGACGCAGTTACCGGTCGGACATGTTCTGGTGAGCTCCTAAACAACTTGCTAGCTACAGTGGTCCATATGGTCTGTTGGTTTTCCTGAACTACCACCTTCATAGGCCCCGACCAAATTCCGGGGTAGCTTCCTTTGCCTGGCCTCCATACCATGACCCACTCCCCAGGCTTATATGCTATGGCACCTGGGCGGGATCTTCTCAGGATGGCTCTTCGGAGTGCCGCATCATTATCGGCAAGGTGGTATGCTCGGCGAGCGCTTTCACGACAAGCCAATTGCTTTCTGAATTGGAGTCCATGTGCCGTCTCTGACTCTGCAAGAAGGTGAGCAGGCAAAAGTTCATCGCTACATACAGCCCCAGGTATTCTGGTATGTTTTCCCAAAACTAGGACCTCTGGTGCGTAACCCCGTTTTAGGCTGCAGGCATTTTTGGCTTGAACACACCACCATAGGGCTTCTCGGAGTTCCCGGTATGTGGTGATTGGGTGTTCCGCTTCATACTTGGATAGCATAGTTTTCAGGATTGAACCGTGTCGCTCGGCTTTGCCATTTTGGTATGGTGCCTCAGTGCTGATTGTTGTCACTCGGATATTGTGTGCTTGTGCAAAAGTGGAAAACTCTTCGGAGTTGAACTCATAGGCTGCATCGACTATCATTTCACTTGGTGCCCCAGCCCAGCTAAACCACATTTGCATCAGTGATTGGATAAAGGCTCCAGAGGATCGATCAGGCGCACAACAGGCCGCTTGAAAACTGGTTGACCAGTCCACCACATGGAACATATGGAAATTAACCCCTTGTTTGTTGGTCCACTTTACCCCATCAACACAAATTCGATCGTTGAAATCCATTTCGTCTCGGATGGCACTCGGACGGGCGATCTTGGGTGCTGTTTGCGCTTGACACACGGAACACTTCATGTCCAGAGCAGCTTGTGTTACCTCAGGGCGAAACCCTTGTGTCCGAAGCAAAGTGCTCAATCTTTCCGGGCTAGGATGTCCCAGGTTTTTGTGAGCTCGAAGCAACATGCTTCGTTCTTCCGTTGATAGAGCTTTGAACCGACTTGACTGCTCTGGATTCTTCAGGTCTTGTGCCTGTGAGGGTGTCAGCATAGCTCCTGGACTTGGATCGGTCAAACGTGGCAACCCTGACAGCTCCTGGGAAGGTTCTTCGACCTTCTCATGATCGGGCAGGCTGTCTGAATTACTTGGCTCAGCAGTTGGTCCTACGGGCTCGACATCTGCGCGCGTGAGGTCTGAAGACTCTCTGTTCCCTGACCGGGGCACTTGACTCTTTCGGGCAAATAGGGTAATATTGATCCTACATGCATGTGATGGTCGGATGAGATTCCTTTTTGCAAGATTTTCCCATTCTTCCCATTCTTCCTCAGCCCTCAAGTTGCCAGTGCTCCTTTCAGTAAAGATGCTACGGCGAAAAGGGGCTTCTCCTTTTACCATGTTTGGTGGTGGAGCAATGGTTCTACTGGAGCCCCTACATGCAACCACATGCTGTACTTCCATGTGCGGTACCAAAACTTGGATGGCATTCACAACCGAACTTTGAGTGACATGGATCTTTCCTACACGAGGCAACATGTCGTTTACCTTGGTAAAAATTTCGGTCCATTGTCCCTGAGCATCAACTGGAGTGGTCTTACCTGTGCATTTGGTTCTCTTTCCCCAGGGCAGAGAGTTCACCTCTCGGGCACGGCTCAACTTAGGCCTGTACGTCTGCGACAGGCGGGGTCGCTTTGGCAAGGATTCTTCTGGGTGATCGGCTGCAAACACTTGACATTCCAGGCTGCGATACGGAACTTCCTTCAGGAACTTCACTTTGCACATGAAATTGGCTAATCTTCTGGCAAATTTGCGAGGGTAATTTTCCGTGTATTGAGATCTATTCATGGTCTCCCCTTTATACCTCACTTGCCCCTCTATGACTTGGTGTTCATGATTTCCAGGGCATCGGAGTGATG